TTGTTTTTTGAGTTGGAGTCTCACTCTGTCACCCAGACTGGAATGCAGTGGCCGTTCCCGGCCACCGCAGCCTCAACCTGCTGGGCTCCGGCGATCCTTCCGCCTCAGCCTTCCGAGTAGCTGGAACTACAGGCGTGCACTACCACGCCCGGCTAATTTTTGATTTATTGTAGAGACGAGGTCCCGCCAAGTTGCCCGGGCGGGTCTCGAACCCGCGGGCTCAGGCAATCCACTCACCCCAGCCTCCCAATGTGCAGGATTACAGGCTGAGCCACCGAGCCCGGCTCAGCACTGGAGTTTAAGCCCTAGAGACTATGAGGTTGACAGCAAGGGTGGTTCTGGGTTTTTTCAAAGAAAAAAATAAATAGTTTGCACCTTGAGAAAAACGCAACCGCCTCTGTGCGTGTGGCTGCCTGTTGGGATAAATGGTAGATTCTGAATCAGGGGGTCTCTGGAGAGGGATGGACACCTGGAGTCGCTCCATTCTCTCACCCCTTCTAGTGTCGGCGGCCTACAAAGCCAGCCTCCCTTTTCCAGTGGGGACCAGCTAGAAAGGCTCTAGGGGAGACCTCCCACACAAAGAGGAGGGCAGGGCCGAGTGGTCGCAGGACCAAGGAGGCTCGGCAGAGCCCTTAGATGGCCACGCCTTACCTATCTCACGAGTCTTTTTCCAGATGTCTGAAAAGAACATTCCCCTCTGCTCTGGCTTTTCTCATCAGAGACCAGGTGGAGTACCCTCTTTGGGGAAATGTGCCACCTTCTGTGTGACCTGTCATTGATGAGGGCAAGCCTGGCAGGGGTACATGGCCCAATGCCCAGGAGCAGCCAAGGTCCCAGGCCAGACAGCACGTCCAGGTCCAGTTGTCCCCTCTGGGCCCCGCATGCTACCTTCTTCCTAAAACTGGCTCATGTCATCTGGAGACCATGGCCTTGCGCCTTGGGATGAAGCAGTGGCTACTCGTCCAGGTTTTCTTAGGTTCCTCTGGGTGGTGATTTGTGTAGTGACAGTAATGGATTCTCGTGGGTGGGCAGTTAAGAGAAACACAGGACTAGAAACGACTTCCAAGGAAGTCAGCCTGGTGATGTTTCTCGTCGTTTTTATACCGTCTCTAGGAAGGTGTCGCTTTACGAATACGATTTTGCTGACCAGATGAGACTGCTGAGAGCATCTGGCACAGAGCCTAGAACTAGAGCCTGAGGGTTAGGTGTAGGGGGACACACACAGGGGTGATCTCTGCAGCACCCCCACTCCGGCCGGCCAGCACTGAGCTCCCAGACGCTGTGGCTGTGTCAAGTCCAATTCTCATGCCCTTTCCACGTGATCTCAAGAGGGAAGCTTTAGTCTGTAGTAAAACCTGCCCAGGGCTGGGTCATGTGTTATTTTTGTTTGGGTTGGGGAGGGGGCTTCAGACAATCCCAAGTAGGTAAGGTGGTGAACCGGAGTTCAGCTTGGACGTCCATACCTTGTCCCACAACTGTCCCCTGGAGGTTCTGCCATCTGAGACCGGCCATCAGGGTTTGTGAAGGCTGAGAGGGAAAGCCATTGCGGCCTGGCAGCCTCAGGACACGTCCCTGCTCTGAGTAGGCCTCTGTGACCCCACGGTCTGGTCTTGCTGTTGCAGTCCCATCTCCGCAGCGTCCACTAGGCAGGGACAGGGACACGTTCCTTTGTTGTAAATGGTTATGAGCCCAAATATTTTTCCAACGCATTCTGGTAGAACAAGGCTCAATTCTGTTAGCTTAGTGTTATGAATTATAATCAGACCCAAACTCAGAGCTGGAGTGTTTTTTATCACGTAATTTTGAAATGAAATCTCTAGCAGGAATGAGATGGCAGCTCTGCTAAGGACAGAGAACCTTGAACTAGATCCAAGAACTGTCACCATCCCTGTGGCAGGCTGTCTCCCTCGGGCCACAGGACAACAGGACGACGTCAGCCTCTGGGGAGCTCCTGCCTGGTTGGAATCTGTGCAGCCCTCACTGCTGGCCGCCTGTTCGGCTGCACAGACCAGCGGTCCCCACAGCTACTGAGGGCACTGGAGATGGAGCCAGCGAGGCACCGGGCATTCACCACCCACAGGCCTGAGTTTGGCTCCTTCCTCCCGTGAGAGAGATGAGAAGGATGCCACAAAACAGCACCACCCTAAGGAGCAGGCCAACCGGGCAGCAGGACGCTGTGAGTGTGACACGAGCCCGTCTGGGGCATGGAGCCTTGTGCAGAACATGTGTCGGCTGGGCCGGGTGGCTGGGCCTCCCGAGGTGCCCGGGTCTCTAAGAGGCCCTGGGGGTCTGCGTCCTTCCATCACCTGGTGGTCTTTAGACAAAAATCACAGGCCTACAGAAGTGAGGTGACTTCTTTCATTTCATTCTCTTTTAAATGACAGTTTCCTCCCCAAAGCCTCCACTGTCTATCATGGTAGAGCGAGTCCATGAGGACCAGTGGCCCACGGGACGGTACACGAAGCGGTCCTCACCTGCATGCCGGGCGCAAGGTGCTGGACATGGGCGGGCATGGCGTCTCCTCCTCTGGCTTCACTCTCCCGGGAATGTCCAAACCTGAATGTGCATGGTGTGCCTAGCATGGACATGGGCCCAGGGCCCTGCAGGCCCCGTGCCCAGGGACCCTCTCCTCAGACCCCGTTCCTGGGCTTGGACCACTCGTTCCCCCTCTGCTCTGATGGGTGCTCCAGCAGGCCCTTGACCGAGTCCCCTGGGGTCCTGTTGGGTTTCCGCCTGTGGCCAGGCTGCTTCCTGGCTCAGTGCCCGAGGGCAGGGGCCCTGGGTTTTGGTCACAGGCATATTTGCTGCATGGCCCATTCTAAAGTAAGGGCTGGCGTCCACCTGCCAAACCCCGACTCCTGTGGTGCGAGTGTGGACGCAGCAAAGGGGAAGGGAAGGTGTGAGGGTGGGTGATTGATAAGGTAAGCTGTGAGACCTCTCTGGAACCTGGGCTGGGAAGGCAGTGGGATAGGGATAGTCCTAGTTGGCTCCTGTTTGCCGCCACAGCCGGCGTTGGGGCTTCAAGCCAGAGGGAGCTGGAGAATGGGTGTGTGTTTATTCTGTGCCAGTCAGAGTGGGGTCAGCCAGGCCGGGCATCGTGCCCCGCTACAGCAGGCCCCGGGCAGCCCGGCCCACCCTCGGGCCTGCGGGGAAAGCAGCTGAGCCCTCCAGACCATCACACCTGATGAGAAAGTCCGAGGCAGGGGAGGCCTGAGGGGGGATATCCAGACCCTGTCACCATGACAGTCATAAGCCCCCAGTGGCCACTGAATCCCCAGGTGGCCAGTCCAACCTGAAATGTGCTGTACGTGTCGAGAGCACACCTCAGGCTTCATCCACAGAAGTCCTTCATGATTATCTATCGGTTACATGTTGAAATGATCATCTGGAAAATATTTGTTAGATAAAATATTGACGTTAATTTCACCCGTTTTGTGTGTTGTTGAACACACACCTAGGAAGCTCGCATCACGCTTCTGTGGACGCAGGAGGGGACACCACCTTCTGTGACGGGCGCTGTGATGGGGCTGACAACACTGTGAGCTGAGAATGGCCTTGAGCAGTGGCTGCTGGGGAGGGTGGCCTCTCGTCTCTGTCCCTCGGCTGGGACACAGCTCTTCTACTGCTGCAAGGAAGTGTAGAATCCCCTCTCCCATCAGGGGGTCTTGGTTCTGTAGACCTGACAGTATCCGTGGCCGTCCCCCTCCCTTGGGTGCACGTGGCTGTGAGGCCAGTGTCGCTATGTTAGGTTTCCCTACTCCAGACTGTCTGGACGGATGTGAATCGGGCCTCCTGAGGCCCACTGAGACGGTGACAGCACTGTCCTGTCAGAACCCGAGGGACCGAGAGGAAAAGAGTGCCTGTAGGCTGCAGGCCGCCACCACAGCCCCGCTTCCTGGTCGCGTCTCGATTCGCAGGTTTCACCTGGAGAGGACATCTCCGCTGCACAAGGTCTGGGCGAGGCTTGGGCGGTGTGATTGTCACCTGCAGGTGTGCCACACAGTCCCACGTGGGAAAGTAGCCATGTACTTCCAGCTCAGGCTTGTCACAAGTCAACAATACTCGGGGACCGTTGTAGGTTTCAGGACAGCTGAAGGGTCAGCTTGTGTTCACAAAGCTGCATGTGTGCATCTTCGGGGTTGCACCAGTGTCTCCATAAACAGATACCAGGCGTGACATAACTGTGCATCTCGATGCGACACAAGGAAACATACGTGCTCCTTGCTGGGTCAGAGGCGAAACCCTGTCAGCCTGATCTGAGTAGACCCATCCTGCAGATAAGGTGCCAGCTTCCCCTCTACTCACCCCCAGCAGAAGCTGCCTGGAACATTCTGCTGGAGCAGAGCCATCTACACTGTCCTGTGTGGGCTGATGCCACGTCCCCTTCGCCCCACGTCCAGCCGCGGCCTGTGCTTTGTTCCACCCCCTCCCCCGGCCTGGGCCCTCCTGTCTCTACTGCAGGGCCTGCACGCTGGGGTCAGTGAGAGCCAGAGGTGCCTCCTTCACACCCCCAGTGAGCAATCAAGAGCCCCAGGAAGTTCTTTCAGCTCCAACCTCCGTCCCCAGAAGCCAACCCCGGGCTCCAAGGGCTGGGCGTGCAGTCCAGAATCGCGGTGCCCACGCGGCTCGGGGGAGCTCCTGTCAGAGCCATGGGGACTCTGCAGTTCTGGGCTCTGCCCTGGCTGAAGGCGCTGTCCAGCCCCCCTGGAGGCGCCTGCACCTTCGGGCCAGTGAATTTTCCCTCAAGGCCAGGGCCAGCCCTGCCCGCCCTGTCCTGGACAGCTCCGGGCCTACAGGATTGCATCCACGCAGGGATCGGGTCACTAGGAATGGAGGGCAGTGATTGGCCAGGAATGAACTAGATGAAGTGGGGGGTTTGCACACCACCGGCTTCCTGGCCCCAGAAACTGTTGCTGACTGTGTGACGCTGCTGGCAGAGGGTGAGCTGTGGCTCACTGCCCAGTGCTCTGCTGGATTAATGTAAACTGCTTTGTTCGCAGGGCTTATTGTCGCCCCCCAGCCAGGCCAGCCCTCCAGGTGCAACGGTAGTGTAGCAGCCCGCTACTGTTCACACAGCCTCCCCGGACTCCACTCGAGAGTGATGGCCAGGTGCCCAAGCTGCGCGAGCCACGCCAGGTGGATCTTGGGCAGGCGACGTCGGTGAGGCCGTGTGGACACATAAGGGCTGCGTGGACGCAGGACCAGCTCCCTTGGCAGCGCTGCGCTCCTGCTGCTCACCCAAAGTAGCTGTTTCCATGTTTAAATCCGTCTTTCGGGGCTAGTAAAAAATAAGAAATGGAGTTTTCTTTTTTTTACTCTAAACTTCAATGTAATTAAATTCAATGTAAATATATAATATATACATATATACATAGTGTAAAAAAAAATGTTTCTTGGACAGGAAATGCCCTTAACTTCAGCTGTTATAATAGCACCCCACTTGGCTTTGCACTGACTTTTTTTATATCTGAGGTGGTCAGGAGACAACCTGGAATGCGCTCGAAAGTTGTAACCTTCTGACTTAAATATGTAACTCAGGAAGACGGATGGATGCTGCACTTAAGTTTAACGCGGACGGAGGATTTCCTTGAATGTGGGTATAATGGACTCGCGGCCCGTGAGGTGCTGCGTGAACACACCCTTTTCACCTGTCGGCACTGATTTTATTTAATACTGTTGTTTCCAGTGCAATCGGCTCTGTATTATATGTATAAATAATGTAATTCTGCAACTGGGGGAAATAGTTATTCCACCAGTAATTTTCATCATTTAAGAGTGATATTTCTAATTCACAAAAAACATTAATATTAAACTATCTTGAACATACCATTTGTTTATCTTCTGTTAAGCTGGCTGTTTTTAATGTAAGTTTTTGGTGAATGAGTTGGTTGGCCTGGAATGGTTTTGGCCTTTTTACACCAAAGCCCTTGCTGCCGGCCAATTTGATTTCAGACAGACTGTTCAGAAACACGACCCACCTCAGAGTCCTCTGGGCCTTCTCTCATCTTCTCTGTCTGCAGTTGCCACAGGCAGCCACGCGTGTGCACAGGCTCTGGCCTCAATGAATCACTTCTTTCTTCCTGCCTAGAGTCCGCCACTTGTTGCTGCAAGCCTGTGACCACACACAATATGCTTTCCCACGTGAGTAGCAAGAAACTACTACAACATGACCAAAATCACTCATGAAGCATCCTCTCGGGTGTTTATTTGGGGAACCCAGCACCTGAGCCACTCCGAGCTTAGGCCACCCACCCCCAGCAAACTCCACGAGTTGCTAGAATGGCAGTAGGACATTTCTTGTTTTTTTTTTAAAAACACACACAACTGGATCCTTCGAAGGCTTATTTATTTGGTGAGACTTCAAACCATGAAATGTCTCAGCACATTTCTCTACATGATCACATCATATTGGGATCATGTCCTTAAGCCATTGCAGGCCCTTGAGGGGTACTCCTGCATTTATGTCACCATTGATACAAACGCAGAACAGAACAACTCACATCCATCTGGGTCTTGGTGTAGTTCTGCAGAGGGGAGACGAGACCCAGCATAAGCCCTCAGGCAGCCCGCTCGAAGCCCCAGCAGCCATGCACTATGGTGTAAGCCTTCTGGAAAGGTAAATGACACCAAGTACCAAGACTTGCTGTGTTTCAAATAAATGTATTAGGATGTATAAATCAGACACATGCAGGATGATCTCCATGTAAAATCAGGTATTAGCATGTTTTAGGTCATTTGTTATTTCTGTCATCTTAGTCAAGGCGCTCTCGGCCACCACAGCCTCGACCTGCTGGGCTCCGGCGATCCTTCCGCCTCAGCCTTCCAAAGAGCTGGAACTACAGGCGCGCACTACCACGCCCAGCTAATTTTTTTAATTTATTGTAGAGATGAGGTCTCGCCAAGTTGCCCAGGCGGGTCTCGAACCCGCGGTTTCAGGCAATCCACTCACCTCAGCCTCCCAAAGTGCAGGATTACAGGCTGAGCCACCGAGCCCGGCTAAGGCACTGGTTTCTAAGTGCTGTCAGTTACATAGAAAGCCAGACCCATGAGGTCCGAGGCAATACAAATAAATCAAGGGACATTTGGAAATCAAGTCTAGAATTCTTAATCTAGTGGTCCCCCTGGTGTCTGCTTATTCCATTTCTCGTCTGTTTGTAGGAGGTGACAGGTGGGAATCTGATGGATACCGGGCAACAATTATGTATGTTAAAACTAAAGCACAGTTTGCTGGGGTGACCCGGCTGTGTCTGCAGCTTTCACTGGCCCGGTGATGTTGTCACTCAAGGAGGTTAGTCCTAATTCTGCCTCAGCCTGGTCTGTCACCCTTCACTGGGTTCTGGAATGCAGTTCGCACTTGGCCGTCGCTGTACTAAAGCTGTCGCATGCGTCCCGGTTTACTATAGGTGCGTCTGTATCAGCAACAAATCTTTATATCACTGTTCCTAAGATTGGTCCCTGGCCATGTGGTCCAAGGATGGCTTCCAGAATCCAGCTGTCCCCACCACTATCACCATCAACTCAAGCATTCAGCAGGCCCTGGACAGATGGCCCGAGACAGCCTCAGGGCTGGTGACATCCTCAGCCAGGAGCCACAGGGGAGTTGGGAATCTTCTGGGCTTCCCTGGTACGACTTGGGTTTGCTTTTGCCATTCTTGCCTTGGTGAGCGCACACTCTGCGTGGAGACTGGGTCTAGAGGAAGCTGGAGGTCACGCTGCCAGGTGTGGTGTCCAGGTGGGGTCTGGCTATGCCACAGGTGTGGGAACAGCAGAGCACAAAACGTGGGGAGCACGGGTCGCTCTCTGCGGCCGTGTTTGCTGCAGGGTATGTATGTCTCACGAAGGTGCCATCAGCGTCTCCTTGGACTGCGACATCTACCCACTGTTTCTGCTCAGGCCGCCACCGCCAGGTATGTCTCCCGACCTCTTTCTTTAGATCAGAAGGGCAGGGGTGGACAAAGCGGGTGAACACAAAGGGACAGCCCGGCGGCACCGCAGGAGCTCGGCAGGCCACGTGGAATGAAGGCGTCCTCACAGGCAGAGGCATGGGTGGGGAGACACTCCTTCTTGGAGCTCGGTGGCACTGCCCACTTGGCTGGCCTTCACGGGCTTCCAAACAAAGCAGGCAGAGGCCCTGCCAGGGCTCTGGCCACAGGCGCCTCCGACAGCTTGAGCCGGCTTGGTCCCTCTGCCCCCAGTCCCACCAGCACCTGCCTGTGGCAGGGCCCGAGGCTGGGCCCACAGACGACACAGGGTGCCACGTGTGGCTGACACTGCTTCGGGCCCCCTGGTGCCTCCTGCCGAAACCAGGCAACTGCGAGGTCCAGGTGAAACGCAGAAGTCCCAGGTGGGCAGGATTTTCCTTCGCTCAAACCTGCAGGAAATTGGATCCGGGCCCTTGAAGCTGATATGGGCGCCCCACTGTGAACCAGAGACCACGCGACTCCTCCACACGGCAGGCCTGGTTGCCAGACTCGATGCTGCTCCAGAGACCAACAGGAAACCCAGCAGCGTGTCCCTGGTGGGCCTGGCCTGCCTCCAGAGAGCCCCCACCCAGCGGTTACCCCGCCGTGAGGAGGTGTGATGGCTGGGAGAGTAAATGCACCAGCATCTCCAAATGGCTGCATCCCCAGAAAGGTTCAGAAAGGACTATAAAGATGTCCCCTACATATCTTCTTTACTTAGAGGGGGAACCGTTCTCCTAAGTCCACAAACACATGGCCTAACTCAGAGCCAACCCTCGAGGATGGCAGCATACCCCCTTAGCCACCATGTCTTTCAGGCCCTGGTCCTTTGGGGGCCTTGCCCAGCTCACCTGCCCTGCGGGTCCGTCTTCCAGCTTGTCTCTGCCATATCCACTTCCCCTTCTGTCTCCCTGGCCCTTTCTGCTGTTGGGTACTGCCCACAGTCCTGTCTGTGAGCTGTCTCAGCATCCACGGTGACTCTCAACGCCCAGGCCCTCTGCAGAGGGAGCATGGTGCCCACTCTCCCTCCTAGGCACCTTCCTCCATGAGGGTGGCCCTGAAGGCCACATCAGGGTCTCCAATGGGTTTAATGTATTTATTTGGAGTCGGAGTCTCACTCTGTCATCCAGGCTGGAGTGCAGTGGCATGCTCACGGTTACCGCAGCCTTGACCTGCTGGACTCAGGCGACCCTTCCGCCTGAGCCTTCCAAGTAGCTGGAACTACAGGCACGCGCCACCATGCCCAGCTAACTTTTTGATTTATTGTAGAGACGACATCTCGCCAAGTTGCCCAGACTGGTCTCGAACCCGAGCTCCAGCAATCCTCTTGCCTCTGCTTCCCAAAGTGCTGGGATTACAGGCGTGAGTCACCACTCCCGGCTTCCAATGGGTTTAAAAGGAAGTTAATTCGGCCCCTCCCTGCTCTGAATGTCACTGGAATCCTCGCTTCCAGTCTTGTATCTGCGTTTCTTGGGGTCCTGTGCTGCCGTGGGCTGGCTACCCCGCCGTGCACCAAGCCCCTTCCCTCCATCTCTCTGGCCTGCCCCTCTGCTGGCCTCACGTCCACTCCCACAGCCCAGCTGTCCTGTCGCTCCCAGCATTGCTTTGCCACCTCCAGATGGCCTGGAGAGCTCTGGGAAGAAGGGCGTCACAGACGAGTCTCAGGAGAGGGAGCACTAAGCCCTAAGCTGGGACATGTAGCCCTTGAAAACACAGACTGAGAAGACAAGAAAGAGAAGGAAGACCCGGTGACCAGGTTACATGCCAAGACCACAGGGGCTTCACAGGATTGCCTCCCCTGCCCAGCGGCCTGGCCAACGCCCTGCACTTCGAATCCATCCAGTGTCACTATGTGCAATGTTCCCATCCCATCCCCAGGGGAACAGGTTTCTTTTTGTAGGGCACAAGGGGCCCACCTTTACTGTGGCACTCGGGAAACAAAGCTCGAAGCACCACAGGCGGGCAGGATGCAGTGTGCTCTTCTCCCAGGAGCCAATGGAAGTGATGCCCAGTGCTTAGAAGAAACACTTCAAGCCTGCCCTCACGCTGCTGTGCCCCCTCGCCCTGCTGTGGGCACTGGGGAACAACAAGGGCTCTGAGGACAAGCCTGTGTTTGTTCCTTAATGTTTTCTTTCTTTTTTGAGTTGGGGTCTCACTCTGTCACCCAGGCTGGAGTACAGTGTCACGATCATAGCTCACCACAGCCTCAACCTCCTGGACTCAAGTGATCCTTCCACCTCAGCCTCCTGAGTAGCTGGGACTACAGGCTTGTGCCACCACACTGGGCTAAGTTTTTAACTTTTTGTAGAGATGAGGTCTCACTATGTTGCCCAGGCTGGTCTCAAACTCCTGGCCTCAAGCGATTCCCCCTGCCTCAGCCTCTTAAAGTGCTAGGATGTCAGGTGTGAGCCACCACGCCCGGCCCTTAATGATTTTTTCAAATGAAACATAATTAAGCCACACTAAAGTCTTCCCAACAAAATCTGTTACCCTACTGTGACCACAAAAGTCAAAATAAAGGGGTAGATGTTAAACTTAGAGAATATAAAAAGGAAATACTGAAATGCTGGCTTATTCTTTAATAGAACTTTGAGCAACACTGCTGATACTGGAGAAGAAATCATAGGCAGGGCCTGCCTGTACACCATGCCTAGCTAATACATCATATAAACTCCAGCTTATCCATACTGACTTCTATAAAAAGTTACAAACTATTCCCTGCCCCAAATTCCTACATAAGTAAAATGAAATAAAGCCCTAGAATGAGGCGGTTTTACACATGTATTAGTATTAGCCTGGAACATTTGGTACAGCTGCTTGGGATGCAGATGCACGGGCCCAGCCCCATCAGCACAGCTGGCCCACGAGTGGCACTTCCGAGGCCCCACGAGCACAGAAGCCACTGCCAGGTCCCCCTGAGTCCTCCGTCCCATCTCAGGAGCCCAGTCGCCAGGCCTCGGCTGGTCAAGAAGGAGGTGGCACGTGCTGCTCAGTATCCGTCACCTTTCCTTCCTATCAGGGGCAAGTGACACTGCTTCAGGTTGGGCTTAATGTCCTTCTGCGAGTCTGTCTGTGAAAGACAAATTGCAGACATTCAGTGGAGGCCTAAGGGGTCCAGGGGCAGTACCCTGTGACCCTCTGAGAAGCTGAGACCCTCCAAGAAGCTGAGATGCACGCTACCTTCTGGTTCACACCAATGCACTTCAAGGGTCTCAACACTGGGACTTTTCCACTCGTTCCCGATCCAAACACAGACTGCAGCACAGGGCTGGAGTGAGGTGACAGGGTGGCCACTCCCGGAAGCTTGAGTCTGGGCAGTTCCATGACACAGGCCGGCCCCTGTCTCTTGGGATGAACCTCCTTTAGAAACTGTTGCTTGAAACAGAACAGAGGTCAGTTAGACACAGAACGGTTTCCCTGTTAAGAGGGGCTCCTGTTAAGAGGGGCTCCTTTCGCCTAATACAACTCTTTGACCATGAGATGTGAGCAGACAGCACACTCTGTGTCCCATACACCCAAAGGGAGGTGGCTGCTCGCCGGCACCCATAGGAAGGTAGACCTCACACCAGTCTCCCTGAGGGATCTGGACGCTTCAGTTTTGCTCGTTCACATCAATAACTCTGTCCTTATGCAAATCCCCCCCTTGGGGCAGTCACCTCAGCCGTCCCTGTACAGACATTGGTGGGGGGGTGAGGGGGAGTGGTGAGAACCCGCCCGTGATGTGAGGGTGAGTGCAGGTACAGAGGCCTCACAGACCGTGATACCTGATGCTCCTGCTGGAACTCCCAGGGCTCAGGTCCAAATCCTCCCACCTCCTGCTTTTGTGGTATGTATATATGTATGTATGTATTTATTTATTTATTTGAGTTGGAGTCTCACTCTGTTGCCTAGACTGGATTGCAGTGGCATGCTCACGGCCACTGCAGCCTCGACCTGCTGGGCTCAGGTGA